TGCTTCAAATATGGATAATACAAATAATTTTTTTATCTTTCACTCGATAGTCTTTTAGTCGATAGCGCAATCGGTCTTCAATTTACATTAAGAAGACAACAATTTTTTATTACAATAACGCAGCTACGCAGAGTTTTACAATCATAGATATAGTTGCGTTTATGTTTACAATTATAATTATATCTAATACTGCGTTAAATTTAGCAATTTAATACAAATGTATCGCATGACTGACTGATTTGATGAACAAGATAAAAATTATTTCGAGGTCGAATTTATTATAGTTAGTTTTTATTTAAACTTCTTATATACATAAGTATAATGTCTGAAGATGTTATTACGATTCTATACTTTATGACTGCTTAAAACTTTACTTAAACACACGATACACATGTGTATCGTCGATACACGTGTGTATTGTCGATACACATGCGTATTGTCGTGCATGCATGCATGCATATTAAACGCAATATGTTTAATAGAACTATAATTATAAAGACAATTATAAATAAACTTGCAATTCTGAAGCAAACTGCACAAACGTTACTTGTTAAAAATTTACTTTAATTGTTTATAACTCTAAAACTTATACTTGATCTTGATTAGAATTTGTTACTCAAATTAAATTATTCACGCAATTAAAATAATTTTTTAAAACAAATATTTTATCGGTACGATCACACAACAAATTTGACAATATTTTATTATTATATACATAGAAAGAACAATTTTGCATATAAAAATTAGGCCCAATATGATGTGTGTGCAAAAAATTTTGACATTTCTGCAACCAAGTTGAACATCCAATATAATTGAAGGACTTATTGTAACAGTGATCTGATTTACATTTACAACGGAATAATGAATTTTAGAGTTCATCACTTCCTCTCATTTTATAAAAAACGGAGTTTTTTCCCGTTTTTTATAAAATGTGGATTAGCTCACTGTCACAGCAAGTCCTTTAATTATTTAGATGATCCAACTTAATTATTTTCAGATCTGTATTCAGCTAAATTTTTTAATGTTTCAGCAAAAAACTTTTTTTCGTATAGCATGTTAAAAATACGGAAAATGAATATCATACTTAAAATGTATATTATCTAAAAAATCTTATGCAAGAGTCAATGAAAATATTTATTCTTTGATAAATTACTATGTTAATAATAAAATTTTTAATAAACAAATTATGCTAATAAAACACGTCACGGTATTTTTTTTTTTTTCAAAAAAACGCAAGGAGCTTATCAATGAGTAAACACTCTAGTACTTTCGAGAGCGATAAATAATTGCCGTAATCTTAGTAAATTCTTTATTTAATCTTTCCGGGGACACTTGTCAGCATTCCCTACCTATAAATCAGCAAATTCAGTACTTGGTTTTTCAAAACGGCGCGCGAATGTATGTATGTAAGGTATACGTATATTTATATCACTTCTTTATAATTCAGACTCGGAGAAATTTCTTCGATCGAAACTTGATTAATGTTCGTATTATAAAAGTGCAACGTTGTAATCAAACGATTATATCGTAATATTATCGTCACTGTTTTAAGCTAATATCGCGAATAAATTTTTTGTTCTCTAAAATATTATGACGAGAATATTAAATCGATAAAGTATACAGCATAAGTAATTTTTTCTTACAAGATTAAAGAGAAAAATCAATGGTCATGTATTATCAGAAGTTAACATCGCGCGCCAGAAAGATTTCGCACCTGCTTTGGAGGAGACCTCGGTCTCACCGGCCTCTGTCAGTCGCTTCTGCAGCTCCGGATAGATGAGGGAATACGTGTTGATGATGCTGAAGAGTACGCCGTTGATCGTGAAGCTGCCGATCATGATCATCCAGGCCCGGAGGCCGCCGTCGGGCGGCTCGACGACCGCGCTCGCCGGCTCGCTCGCGTGGTCCTCGTCGTCGTCAAGGTCTCTTTTCCGGCACATCGCGCCACCATCCGTCTGCGCCGCCACCGCGTTCTCCACTTTGTGCATTCTCTTGAGCTTCCCGATCGGCGCGTCAATAGTTACTGCCGCGCTCTCGGCCAGAAGGGGATTGCCCTCACCCGAATCGGAACTGTCGAGGTCGGCCTGACGACGCTGAACGTGGCCCGACGTGCCGATTGGATCATCCACGGCTGTGCGATCGATCGTTCGGATCGACCCGGCGGCGTTGCTTTCCAGACCAAAGCCGATGTCCCCATCGCCGACCTCCTCGCCGATCGCCATTGTTATCGGTTATCCTTGTTGATTATTGGCTGCGCTCGTTGGAGAGATATCTGTGAACTTCCGATAAAAGAAACTCTTTTATTTAGAGTTTTATAAGCTGAATTGAAGTGCACGATTAGATTAGCTTCTATTAAGGAAATGCTAAATACAAGATCTTTCATTATCCATTAATAAATTCCCATCGCGTTGATACGTGATAGGAATTTATTTGGATAATTAAAAATCTCATTTAATCCTTCCTCGACGAAAGAAATCATTATTTCGTTATTAACGTTATTTTGTTTTCTTTTAATTTTATATTTTCTTTTATTTAACATTTTTATTTTTCAATATCGTGCGTCAAGAACAAATTGATTTCGAATTGTTCGAAGAACCTATATACATATAGGTTCATTTATAATTCTCAAATTAATGATCACCAGAGGATTTTTCATTTCGAATTAACGTCAATGAAAATGCAACATTATAGCTTAAATCAGGAAAACTAATTATTTCGAATAATAAATTGTTGAAGGAATATATATTAATATCATCTATAAATAATTAAATAAAACAAAATAATGATTTAGGCTCAATAAATTAAATAAAATCATTAGACAATCAAGGGCAAATGAGCCAAAGGCAAGTTATTAGTAGAGATCGGAAGAGCACACGTC